GGCTTAAACAACAGAAATTTATTTTCTTATAGATCTGGACGCAAGAAGTCTAAGATCATGATGCTGAAAAATGTGGCTCCTGGTAAGGCCCCTCTTCCTGTTTTGCAGGTGGCTGCCTTCTTGCTGTGTCCTCATATGCCTTTTCCTCTGTGTGCACAGAAAGAGAGAGCGAGCTCCGGTGTCTCTTTCTCTTCTTATAAGGACACCAGTCCTATCAGATTAGGACTCCACCCCATGACATCATTTAATGTTAATTAACTCCTTACAGCTCCTATCTCCAAATACAGTCATGTTGGGCTTAGGGCTTCAGCCTATGAATTTGGGGGGACACAATTTAGTCCGTAACAGGCACTAAGCTAGATGAGCACTAGGACTAGCAAATCCCCAGAGGGCACCGCCTTCAGCAGGCAAACTAGGAAAACACCTCAACTTATCCTTCTTCTTTATTCCAAGTAGAGCTATAAAGGCAGGAAAAAAGTCTCCTCTGGGAATGCCTCCTCACAGCCCAAGAACCACACGTTTGGTGCTGCAATTCACATTTCATGAGTGTGTGTATGCACGCACGCGCACACACACGCAAGCACTAGGGAGTGGGAGAGGGTGAGGCAGGGAACCCAAAATCAAAAACTGATTTTGAAGTGGTTCAGGGTTTGTAGTATCTCAAGAAACAAATTCATGGTAGGAAAAAAAAAAAATCTTCCCTGCAGGAATATACTTTAAATAAAAAATTTCCAAAAATAAAGTTCAGAGGAATATGAACTCACAATAAGAAAATCACTGATCACATTAGAAAACACATTAGAAAACACTGATCACATTAGAAAACAAGTCACCACAGTCTTGCTGTTTCAGCAAAAACAACAAACTGTAGATTTAGATCCACAAAAAAGAAAAATATTGAAATTACCACATATAAAATGTAAAATAATATGTTTAAAGAAAAGGAAAAGAGAGGATAATGGAACTATCCCAAATGACCAGGAAAGTTTGAGGAGACAGAACCAAACAGCACTTCCGGAAATGAAAAATATATAATAACTGTAATTAATAACTCGATAGTTGGGTTATATGGGTTAGAGACGAAGAGAAGACAGAATTAATGAAATACATAATAAAGCAGATTTAGACAGTATCCAGAGTTCAATACATAGAGACAAAGAGATGGAAAATATGGAACAAAGATTAAAAGATATGGGGAAGAGAGGGAGACGGTAAAATATCAGTCTAATTTGATTTCCTGAAGGAGAGAATAGAGAGAATGGGGAAGACACAATATTCAAAGAGATAAAAGCTGAAATTTTTCGAATTCATGAAAAGTACTAATTCTCAGGAAGCTCAAATGAATCCCAATAGGATAATGAAAAGAGTGCACAGCTAAACACATTGTAGTATAGCAAAATCTGGCTGCAAAACACCAAAGATAAAGATCTTAAACATGACTTGAGAGAGAAGATAGATTAACTACAAAGGAGTACTGATCAGACTGACTTCTATCGTCATTGTTTCAGAAGCAACAATGGAAGCAAAAATACAGTGGAATAATATTAAATACTGAGAGAAAATAACTGCCAACCTAGAATTGTATACCCAGCAAACTTTCAAGGATAAGAAAATGGTAAACTTCTAGGTAAATCTAAACAAACACTGACTGTACAAAATAACTACTTTCGGAGTTAAACCAAAATAGAACTGAAATTCTAGATAGTAATTTCCAAGTTAAGGAGAAGAATCAGACTTTGCTCAAAAGTCTCTAATGTTTAAGAAGAGAGTAATGATAGTAACTCTAGATTTTGTTAACTATGCAAGTTGAACTTCCTAATAAGCACTAAAAGATAAAAATTGACTCTTTAACTTTTAAACTAGCAGAAGTACATGGAAAAGCAAAACAAAACT